ACGCACCGCACACGCCCCCACGCACCGCACGCACGCACGCACACACCACACACACACGCACACACGGACCATCACCTGGACGATCGAAATGGCCCCTGGACGGCGCCCCCCCCTCCCTCCCAAGAGGGCAATTTGGAAACCTCGGAGACAATCGAGGATGGGGCACCTCCGCCGGGCGCCGCCAGAGTCTGATCGTGATCCTGATCCTGATCCTGATGCTTCTCCTCCTCCTCCTCCTCCTGCTCCTCCTCCTCCTCCTCCTCCTCCTCCTCCTCCTCCTTCCTCCTCCTCACGTGGGTGGCGCTTGGTAGCGGCACGGTGGACTTCCCAGATCCCACGCCCTTCATAAAAAAATCCGGTTCCTGCCGCCGCCCTCGCTCCCTCCCTTCCTCCCTCCCTCTCTCCTTCGCCCCTCCTGTTCTTCCTGCTTCCCCTCCTGCTTCTCCTCCTCCTCCTCCTCCTCCTCCTCCTTCGCCTGGTCCTCCTCCTCCTCCTGATCCTCCTGATCCTCCTGATTCCTCCTCCTCTCCCCCTCCTCCTCCCACCCTCCTCCTCCTCCTTCTCCTCTCCTCTTCCTCCTCCTACTCCTCTCACTCCTCCCTCCTCCTCATCTCCCTCCTCCTGATCCTCCTCCTCCCTCCTCCACCTCCTCCTCCCCTCCCTCCATCCTCCTCCTCCTCCTACCTCACTCTCCTCCTCACCTCCTCATCCTCGTCCGTCATCACATCCATCCTTATCCTCATCCTCATACCTCATCCTCAGCCCATCATCCTCATCCTCTACCGTCATCCTCCTCCTCCTTCGCCTGGTCCTCCTCCCTCCTCCTGATCCTCCGATCTCCTGAATCCTCCTCCTCCTCCCCCTCCTCCCCCTCCTCCTCCTCCACCTCCTCCTTCTCCTCCTCCACTTCCTCCTCCTCCTCCTCCTTCCTCCTCCCCCTCTCATACTCCCTCCTCCTGACCTCCTACCTCCTCCTCCCTCCTCCTTACCTCCTCCTCTCCCCCACGCCTCCTCCTCCTCCTCCTCCTCCTCCTCCGTCCTCCTCGTCCTCCTCCTCCTCCTCCCCCATCATCCTCGTCGACATCATCATCATCAAATCATCCTTAACCCTCATCCGCATCCTTCATCCCTCATACCTCATCTCATACCTCATCCTAATCCTCCCATCTCCTCCCCCTCCTCCTCCTCCCCCCCCTCCCACCTTCCCTCTCCCTCCCTCCTCCCTCCCCGGCCTCCTCCTCCTCCTCCCCCCCCTCCACCTCCCCCCTCCTCCTTCTCCTCCTCCCTCCCTCGTCCTCCTCCTCTCCCCCAAGCACTGATTAGGGAGATACGAACACCTCCCGATCTCTGCTTCTACCTCCGTCCTTCTCCTCCTCCTCCTCATCCTCCTCCCCACCTCCCCCCCCCTCCCCTCCTCCTCCTCCTCCTCCTCCTTCCTTCGCACCGCCTCCTTCCTCCTCCTCCTCCTCCTCCTCCTCCTCCTCCTCCTCCTCCTCCCCCTCCCCCCCCTGGGCACGTGCGAGTCATCGCGGGCAGCTCGCTCCGGAGCAGGGCCACGGGCCTGGATCGACGCGAGCAGGCCCCCCCACCTCCCGCCCGAACGGCCATTGGCCTGGGACCAACGCTCGATGCTCAATGGCGGCGCGCCCGTCTGAACACATGCAAGAACATCGGTCAAACAATGCTACGCATTTGCACCGTCCCACCATCCCTCTGGGCGTAGGCGGTTTAGGGGGTTTCCTGCTGGAGCCCTCGGTGGAACTTCCTATGGGGCCAAGAAACGCATGAGGCGCGTGGCGTCACGCGACTGATAATGTCAAGGGTGATGATATGGACGATGATGATGGCGACGACGATGGCGACGATGATGATGACGACGAAAGTAACAGCGATGATACCGATTATGATGGCGGTGGCGACGAAGGTGACGATGGTGGTAGTAATGGCGATGAGGATGCGCGGAGGGCAGATGCAAAGATGGAAAGGGCGGAGCAGAGGGAGGAGGGGCGCAGCAGGGCGCGGCGGGCGCGATCGAAGCACCGGGAGGAGGACGAGGAGGAGGAGGAGGAGGTCCCAAGACCCACCCCAAGAGCCCCAAGATAACCCCAAGACCTTCCAAAAGAGCTTCAAGAAGGCTCCCAAGAGAGCTCCGAGACCCGCTCCCTCCCGCAAGAACCCCAAGATGACCCCAAGGCACTCCAAAAGAGCCCCCCTGTCCCCCCCTTTCTTTTCTTCGTTCGATCGCTGCATTTGCGTTTCATTTCCAAGATTGTGAACAAGCAGATCCATGGCAAGAAGGTCGCTGGAGTGTACGTCCGCCAACAAGAGGAGGGCACGTGGAGGGTCGAGAAGAGGGCTCGGGCGCGCGTGAGCACAGTGGGGGCCGCCCACGACGGTGAGATCTTGCATGCCGAGGAGATCGAGGAGGCCGCTGCCGACGCCATGGAGGAGAACATGGGCGACACCCACGGGGCGCTCACGGCCGAGGAGAGCAGGAGGCGGGCGCTCGCTGCAACGGCATCTGCGGCCTCCGCGCAGCAGCCAGTTGAGTCCAAGCAGGTTGACGAGAGTGACTCCAATTCGTCTGGGAGCGGTTCCGACAGCGATTCTGACAGTGCCCCTCTGGAGAAGCAGCCGCAAGCTAAGGGTAAGAAGGTGCCCCGAACTCCCAAGTCAGGTCGCCCCGAGTCGGAGGCCCCGACGCCGCGCTCCGGGGCGCCAGGGGCGCCGGTGTCATCACCCCACACGTCGCGCATACCCAGGGGGGCGGCATCGGTGGCATCGGCCTCATCAGCTCCGAAGGAGCCCCCCCGCAAGAAATCAAAGATGGTCGGCAAGCAGGCTGACACCCAGAAGCAGGATCTGCCAGACGGACTCGAGACCATGGTCAAGATGAGCGAGGACATCGAGAGAGTGATCTCGCAGTACACGTCCGGGGAGTTTGACAAGAGCAAGGGCATCATGATGAGGGCGCACCTGAAGGAGTGGGTCGAGCTCACTACGAACGCGAAGAAGTTTGCGAAGACCTTGCACGACGGCCCCGAGAAGCGTTCTTTGCAGAACAATGTGTCGAAGCTCGAGTGTGTCATCTCGTTGACGAAGGTAATCAACAAACAGAATGCAACGTTCCTCGAGATATCAGGCGCGTGGGATGTCGTCAGGACTGCAGGCGCCGACCCATCGCCAGGGCACACCTGCATCCTTGCCCTGAGGAACATGGACACCGCCCTGACGAATTGCGACATCCAGAAAGCCATTGGCCTGTTGACCACGCCGGTGATTCCACACGGGCTTCATGCCATCAACGACCAAGAGACGAAGACCAACACGGCAGCCTCAATGCTCATGAAATTCTTGGCTGCGATCTTTCCCACGAAGCTTCCGAGCAACGTCGACATGGTCACGGTGGCGAAGACAGCGATGCACCAGCTGACAGCAATTATAACTTCGGATGTTTCTTTACCAGAGGGCTTCAAGGATCAATTGAAGGCCAGCCACCAGATCTTGGACCCAATTTGGAACAGGGTAGATGGTCGGGATGCCCTGGCGTTGCTTCAGCCATCGATCGACTCGTCCGACGGGCGGAAGACGGCGACGGAGCCTGCGCAGGCCTTCGTGCAGTCCAAGCTTGGGAAGCATGTTATCAAGATTGCTTCTGGGAGGTTGGCGGAGGACATCCGCAGCGAGGTCATTACCAAGGAGATCGAGCACTTGGTCAACGAGTTCAGCCAGATCGCTCCCACTTTCGAGAAGACTCAGGTCGACGATGTGCTGAGGGAGGTGAAGTCGGTGGTCTTCCAGTTGTGCAACCACGCCTCAGACAAGGAGCAGAAGGGTGAGCAGCCAGTCCCTCAGGCATACGACGACATCTCTAAGAAAATCAACGATTGGTTTGAGGAGGTTTGCAAGATCGAGCTGAAGTTCCTGGGCGATTGTTTCGAGCTCGTTCCGAACCCGACCGAGGACAGTAGCGCTGCGCCGACCATGATTACAACTAAGCCCGAGCATTTCGCAGGCACAGGCCCCGTCGGGGAAACCTTGGAGGTGTTGGGCAAGGTGGCAGATGCATGGGCAAACATCTTCTCCCAGCACTTGCCCAGGCTGTCCGGCGTGAGCACTCCGGCCAGTTTGCCGAATCATGTTTCCAGCATGCCCGTTTCCGATCCGAGGTGCTTCGTGAGGCTCGCGATTAGGTACAAGGAGCTCATTGACAAACCAGATCATCTGGGCTCTGCAGACTTCTTGGCAGCGAGGGAGGCCGCTGAGGAGAGTTCCGACCAGGGCGCTGCCGCAGCACGCACGTTGGCCACGGCCGCGCTGGGCGAGCCCCGAGCCACGATGATATGCGATTTCATCATTGACGCCATCCACCAGAAGCTACGCCAGGTAGCCGAGACCCTCGGAAATGCCCAGGACATCCAGGCCGACTTGACCTTCAAGACTGATGACATCAACGCTTTCATCGGCTCCGACGCGACCGTCGACGTGGAAGGCGACGCCGCCACGAAGCTCGCGGCGTTGGATGTCAAGGCGGAGATGGCGCTCATCGACAAGTGCATCGGCAAGTTGGACGTCCTCTCGGTGATCTCGCCGAACATGGATGGACTCGCGGAGGACTTCGTTGCTCTTCTCCTGTTTTACTTCCTCCTCCTCCTCCGCCTATTTCTTTCCTCCATCCCCCTCCTCCTCAACCCTTCTGCTGAATCCTTCTGCGCATCCCTTCCCCTCTTGTTCCACTCCTGCTTCGCCAGTTGCATGCCCATCTCTCGTTCCTCCTCCCCCTCCCCCTCTTCCCCCTCCTCCCCCTCCTCTCTTGCTCCTCCTATTCCTTGTCAGTCTTTTCCTCATGGTCTTCCGAGCTTCTTGATGTTCCTCTTCCCCTCTCCTCCTCCTCCTCCTCCTCCTCCTCCTCCTCCTCCGCCTCGTCATTGTCACCCTTCCCCCTTCCACATCCGTGTCTTTCTTGTTTCTCTCCCTTCCTGCCCCTCCTCGCTGCCGAGGAGAGGGCCCAGTTGAGGGCCCTGGAGTGTTTCTTGCCTGCCATGAGGATTATCGCCACTTGCTCGCAGTGCTTCGATAATTACCAGGCGGCCACGGACGAGGAGAAGCTGGATGCGGAGTGGGAGTTCCTGAGTTCCGTGGAGGCCGCCACCAAAGAGTGCAAGGCGTGCGAGGCAGGTGCTTCGCCGGGCTGCGACCTCATGAAGGACATCCAGCGCTGGATGGGCTCCATCGAGAAGCGTGTCTACCCGATCGCCAGCGAGTCAGTGCAGGAGGTGCGCTCGATGCAGATGGACCTGCTGAAGCATTGCATCGACATGGACCCGGTCATGGCAGACCTGGACAACAAGATCGACGAACTGATCAATTCTTGATGCTTCGCGTATCCCCGCCAGCCCATCCAGAAACGACGCGCAGGCGAGTTGAGGCGCCCAGGCAAGCGTGGGAGCAAAGAGGGGGGCAGCCGAACCGAGCGAAGGAGGGATGAGGAGAAGGAGGAGGCTGGATTGATGGATGCATCAGGGAGTAGGGAGAAGGGTGATGAGGAGGAAGGAAGAGGAGGATGATGCTGAGGAGGAGGAGGAGGAGGAGGAGGAGGAGGAGAAGGATGAGGAGGATGAGGAGGAGGAGGAGGATGAGGAGGAGGAGGAGGAGGAGGAATCAGGAGGAATGAGGAGGATGAGGAGAAGGGGCAGGAGGAGTAGGAGGAGAAGGAGGAGGAAACGAATGAGGAGGGCGAGGAGGAGGGAAAGCGCGAGCAGAATAACCAGAGGCCAGAGGCATCTCAGATCGGCATCTTGATCTGGATGCCTCTCGGAGTCTCTCGGATGCCTCTTGAAAGCCTGTTGGAGGCCTTTTGGTGCGTCTTCGGGGTCTCTTGGCGGTCCAGGGAGGCTCTTGGGCGTCTTGAGTGCCCTGGGGGGGCGGGGGCCTCTTGGGGCCGCTTGGGGTCCTCTTGGGGGGCTCTTGGGTGCCTCTTGGGTGCCTCCTGGGGCAATGTTGGTGCCATTTGGGGGCCATCTCGAGCCCCCCCTGGGTTTCCTGGGGGCCTCTTCGGTGCCATCTTGGAGGAGATCGATCAAAGAAGGGGGGTCCTCAAATGCGCCCCCCCCCCCCATCGGAAGCTCCAAACATCGTTTCCTGGACTCCTCTTGGGGCGCTCCTGGAGCGCTCTTGGGCGCTCTCGGGGCCGTCGTGGGGCTCTCCTGGGCCCCTCTTGGGGCCCTCTTGGGCCATCGTGGAGCCATCTTGAAGCCTCGGATGGCCATCGGAAGCGAAACGGCGAAACCGTTGATTCCCAACCATCCTGTGGATTGGGTCCTCGTTCTGAAGAGACGACGCCCCGTGTCCACTCCCCGCTCCTCCGCCCCTTCCCCCCTCCTCCATCATCAACAGCATCGTCAGCATAATTGTAATTGTTATCATCATCGCTCACCCCCATCGCCTATCACCGTCATCATGAGCGTTACCTTCATCGTCGATACCACCATCCATCCATTACCATCATCATCATCATCATCATCATCGTCATCATCATCATCATCATCATCATCATCACGTTTCGTTACCCTTCACACGCCTCGTGGCCCCATAGGGGCTGCGCCGAATGTCCAAGTGGCGCAGGACTTTATGCGTCCCAGCCACCGATTTCGGCACACCCCTCACACGTTTCGTGACCCCGCAGGGGCATTACCGAAGGTTGCAGCGGCGCAGCCCGTATGCGTCCCAGCCACCCATTTCGGCACACGTGCGCGCGTTCCGTGACACCATAGGAGCCCCACCGAAGGTCCCAATGGCGCAGCCCGCGCGCGTCCCAGTCACCAATTTCTGCACACCCCTAACACGCTTCGTGGCCACATAGGCGGCCCACCGAAGCCCAAGGGGACGCAGCCAGCATGCGTCCGAGATACCCATATCGGCACACCCTCACACGTTTCGTGACCCCGCCAGTGCCCCGCCGAAGGTCCAAGTGGCGCAGCCCGCGCGCGCCCCAGCCACCCATTTCAGCCCCCCCTTCACACGTTTCGTGACCACATATGGCTTCCACAGAAGGCCCAAATGACGCAGCCCGCATGCGTCCGCGCTACGCATTCCAGCGCACCCACGCACGTTTCGTGACCCCATCGGAGCTCCACCGAAGGTCGCAATGGCGCAGCCCGCATACGTCTCCGCCATCCATGTCTGCGCACACCTCAAACGTTTCGTGACCCCGTGGGAGCCCCACCGAAGGCCCAAGTGGCGCAGCCCGCATGCGTGCGCGCCCCAGTTTTCGGCACACCCCCACACTTCGCGTCACCAGCGGAGCCCCACCGAAGGTCCAAGTGGCGCAGCCCGCATGCTCCCCAGCCACTCATTTCGGCATACGACATTGTGACATACCCCTCACACGCGTCGTGACCCCAGTGGCGCAGCCCGCATGCGTTCACGCCATCAATTTCGGCACGCCCTCGCATTTTTCTTTGCCACAATGTTGGGATTCTACCGAAGGTCCAGCTGGCGCAGCCTGCAAGGGCCGACGCAACCCATTCGGGCCCCTCTCTCACACGCTTCGTGGCTCCATGGGAGTTGTAGCGAAGGCCTCAGTGGCGCAGCCTGAATGCGTGCGCGCTAACAAAAAATCTGCATGCCCCTCACACGTTTCGTGGCCCCATCGGGAGAGGTTCCAGTGGCGCAGCCCGCATGCGTCCACGCAACCAAATTTCGGCAAACATCACACGTTCCGTGGGCCCTTAGGAGTTCCCACCGAATGTCCCAGTGGCGCACCCTGCATGCGTCCCGCGCGCGGGAGGAGTTCTGTATAGCCCACCATGGACAAGTCGGCGCGTCCATCGGCCTCCTTGAAAGTCCACAGAAAGTTTGGGTTCCCTTGTTGGAATTACGTGTTTTTTTTCTGCTTTTGACTATCCACTAGACTATACAGTATACATAACTCGCCGCGCGCGCGTGGGGGGTTCTGCATAACAATAGAAAGGTCGGCGCGTCCATCGGCGTCCTCAAACAGTTCAAAGGATTTGTGAAGTCTTTGGTTGGAACTACTCGTCGGTTTTTTTGGACAATGCAGAAATCCCTGCGCGCGCGGAGTGTTCTGCATGCTGACAATGCAGACCTCGCCCCCCGCGCGCGCAGGGAGTTCTCTATTGTCCAAATGAAAAGTAGACGCGCCCACCGCTAAGGGCTTAATTTAATTCCCAGGCCAGCATGGCGACATGTCTTGTGTGGAAATTACAGAGGTCCCCGCGCGGCGCGCGAACGCGGACGCGCGTGGGGGGGTCTCCATTGCACGCGCGAGAGCCAAATTTTAATTCGGGAATCCGATCGGCCACCGCCCTGGGCCAAATTTATTTTCCTGACCCACGTGGCTTCCATGCGCCAGAACCCATGTTCACCAGGCAATCCGATCTGGCACCGCTAAGGGTTCACTTCATGTACCAGGCCAACACGGCAGCTTTCCTATTGAGGACAGCGCAGAGATGCAAACGCGGCGCGCGCGGGCCCCTCCATTGCCACAAAAAAAAAACACCAGCCAGAACACGTAAGGGCCAGTTCTATTACCTGGGCAAGCACTGTGACTTCCCTGTCGTGGATTAGCCAAGGATCCCCGCGCGGCGCGCGCGGGCGCGCGGGGGGGTGGGGGGTCTGCATAGCATGCGCCCAAACGAATGTTAAGTTGGACATCCAATCGGTCATGGCTGAGGTTTCACTTTGGGCCCCAGGCCAATATGGTGACTTTCCTACTGTAGACGCGACGCAGATCCCCACGCGGCGCGCGGGCGCCCGCTCGGAGTGCATTTGGAGATCCGCTCGACCACTGCTAAGGATTCACCTCGCACCCCTAGCCAACATGGCGACTTTCCTGTATCGTAGAGGGGGCAACGCTGGCGATCCCCATGCGGCGCGCGCGCTCGGCGGCTCGGCATTGCCCATGGCCCATAGCGAACAGCCAGCGCAAGAACCAATGTTGACATGCAAATCCGATTGGTCACCGCGCAGGGCTCACTTCATATATTCCAAGCAATCATGGCGACTTTCCCGTCGTGGACGGCGCAGAGATCACTACGCGGCGCGCGCGCGGAAGTTCTGCAGGGCAAAGAGCGAAACAACCATGCGCCAAGACCAACGTTAAATTGGGTGCACAGCCGGCCACCGCAAATGGTTCCCTTTTGCTGCCAAGCCAGCATGGCGGCTTTCCGATTGTAGACGCCGCGCAGATCCCCACGCGGCGCGCGCGCCGCGGGCGGCTGCTGCATTGCCATTTGAAAAACGCATGCGCCAGCTCCAATGTTAACTTGGAAATCCAACCGAACACAGCTAAGGGTTCAACTTGCGTTCCAGGCCAACATGGCGATCTTCACATTATGGACAATACAGAGGCCCCCTCGCGGCGCGCGCGCGGATTCTGCACTGCCCATATTGAAAGCACGCGGCTGGGCCATCGTTAGGGATCATTGCAGTCCCCAGTCAAACATGGCAACGTTCATATCGTGGACAGCACAGAGACCCCCACACGGTGCGCGCGCGGGGGGGGGGGGGTCTGCATTGCATGCGGCAGAACCCCTGTCAACATGGACATCCGATCGGTCACGACCATGTCCGCATTTTGGTTTCCAAGCCAGCATGTCAACTTTACCATTGTGGCACAGCGCAGAGAACTCCGCGCGGCGCGCGCGCGGGGGGGCGGTTCTGCATTGTGCACTGCAAGAACCCATGCCAACTTGGAAATCTGATATGTCATTGCCAAGGGCGCAAGTCAGACCCCAAACCAACATTGCGGCTTTCCTATTGTGGACGCCACAGGGGCCCCATCGTGGCGCGCGCGCGTGCGCGCGGGGGGCTTCTGCATTGCCCGCCATGGCATTGGCATATGGCCGTGGCCCATAGTGGCAAGCAAAACCCTGAACCATGTTAATTTGGAATTCTGATCGGCCGCCGCCAAGGGTTCCCTTTGGCTTCCAGGCGAACATGGTGACTTTCCTATTGTAGGCGCCGCAGAGATATCCACGCGGCGCGAACGCGCGCCGCGGGGTGTTCTGCATCTTGGCCCATCATGAAAAGCATGCGCCCAAACAAACGTTAATTTGGAGGTCCGATCGGTTTTCGTTGCGGGTCCACTCTAGTCTCCAGGCAAGCGTGGCGACTTTCCGATTGGACACCAGAGATCCCCACGCCGCACGCGCGCGGCGGGGATTTACCACGCTGATATGCACGCGCCAGATGCAATGTTAACCTGGGGAACTTGTAATTTGTAACTCAACATCAGGCGCGATTGCATCTTCAGAGAACCGTTGCGGTCAAATACCAGCAGACGCCTGCAACGAAACTGATTGCA